ACTCAAGCAAATAAAAACACAAGAAAAACACACAAAAACATAACAAACAAGCCACCAGACGTCGGCGTTCCTCTGTTGCACCACCATAAGCACTCAATCGCAACATATACACACGAACACAGAGAGCGCCATCGTGTCCCACCAGCCCCGCCGATCGCTGTCGTCAACTGTTTGCAGCAGACCCGCCGCAGCTTTGTTACTTGATACGCCTTCATCGCGACGGAAGAGGCTTCATCGCGACACCATTATCGTCATCCACTCTTCACACGCTCAGTCCGACAGTCCTTTCTTGACCTCTGTCGCCGACCCGTCGACCTCCGCCGCCAATGTCTCGACCTCCTCCGCCTCTTGAGATCGAACCACTCCCACTCCGATGGGAGAGATGTTGATACGGTGCAATTTGAATCCATAAATCTAGTTGTGTGATTGGGCATGCTCTTTGAGAATTAGATTAATTATAGGGACTTATCTGCGATTTTTAATAACTTTATTTATATTTCATTTTAACTCATGGGTCAAATCACTAATTATTGTAAGTTAATAAAAAAATAATTTTTTATATATAGTGTTATATGCATGTATATTAAATAAATAAATATAAATAATACAAATATTAAAAAAAAAATAACGTATTACAATAAATAAATTATATAAAAAAATAATAAATAATTAGATATTTTAATTATTTAATTAATTCTTGTATGATTATATATGTTAAAATTATTTTTGAATACACATAATTTATCTGCTAAGGTATAAATTAGTGCACCTTATATAACAGAAATGTCTCACTTTATAAGGCAACACATTGCACTATATAAAGCAACGCGTTGCACTTTATCGCGTGGCATGTGATTTTTTTTATAAGAGACCCAAAGCATTGTGGGTGCTCTTATATAATAAAAATGGTGCACTTTATAAAACAACAAATTGCACTTTATAAAACAACACGTTGCACTTTATCGTCATATTCAACAATTAATGTCAACAACTTACACAAAAAATATTACGCAATATAAAATTAAAAAGCACATCTTAATATCCACCACAAAATCTATTCAAAAAAAAAAAAAAGGATGCCAACATATCAAAATTACAACACTTCACTTTATACATCATCACGTTGTACTTTATAATACAACAAGTTGCATGTTATAAAATAACACGATGCACTTTATCACGATTCTCGAATTACACACTATATATTGATACCAACCAAATTTAGGTTTTTCATACACAAATAATATAAAATTAATAATAATATCATTAACATATTAAATATAATTTAAATATAAATAACATTTTTTTTGATTATTTAGGATAATTCATTTAACTGAACGGAATAAAACATTCATTTTCAATTTGATTTGCAGCAAAAATTCGGTTTGGTCAATATGCCCAATACGGACCGTTATCGTGCACCATATTGTTGGCCGACTTGCAACGTAATAACTGACAGATTGCACCGCATAATTGTTCCGATTTTTAATGTCAATCACATTATTGACTTTTTAGATTTAATAATTTTTGAAAATCAATAATTGCAATTAAGTCCTCCATAATTGTCTAATTTTCAAAAATATAACCCAATTTAATTTACAAAATCTACACAAAATCTGCAAACATATTTCCACCTCCGTCTTCGTGCAGGCGTTCTCTTCCGACCACCGCAGCAGCGGCCGTCGTCGTCTTCAGATACCGGCTTCTCCGCCCCTCCTCTCCGAGCCCGACGAGGTCATCTCCATGACAGCTCTCATAAGCAATAGCTCCGGCCTGAATTCACTCGTCTCAAAGCCCGGCGCCGTCGAGTACAACGACGATGTTCCGCCTTACCACGTATATTTATCTCCGACTTTGCGTACGACGAGGCCGATTTCTAAAAAATACAGCCCTGAGGATGACTATGTCGCTCTAGGCATGGACGTCGGCGTCTGTGTCGGGTAGTCGACGATGTCCGACGAGTAGCGGCGAGATTTGAGATCACGGCGTGGCTCTTCGGGACTGCTGGTGGACGGTGCGTCTTGTAGTACGGCGGCGGTCCGACGGAGATCGCTGACTGAGTCGGTGGTCTGGAGATGGTCTGCGGTGCCGAGGGATTAGGCGACGACGCACTGGTGGTCCGACGATTGATTGTGAATGGTGTGTCCGGCGAGGTCTGTGAAGGTTGTATGTGTGTGCGCCGTGTATGTGTGTGTGTGTGTGTGTGTTTTGCTTGGTGACGGATTCACAGATGGGGTAGGTGGGACGGGTGGGTAGGTTTTTGTTAGAATTAATGTTGGGTGGATGGTGGACCCCACATGTTGGTGGGTTGATCTCAATTGTCCAATTTACCCTTAATTTATGTCAAATGTTTATATTTGACCATCAATTATACATTTAATTACAAAATTGCCACTACATGTTTGACTATCATGTATAATATTTGACTAGATCATGATCATTGATATGTTGTATCCAAGGGTCCAAAACCATTCTTATTTCTTTCATGACTTATTATTCTCATATGATCCCTATATATATATATGGATTGGATCCAATGAGTACACATATTTAAAGTGTGAATGTGAGACTCATTCCTAGTCATTAGATTGGTACATAATGTGTGGCTAAGATTAACTCTTCAATGAAATAATAATTCTTTATTTTTATTACTTATTTCTTTATTTTATTATTTTATTTATTTAAATATTATTTTGACAATTGACCATTGACTCGCCGTTGACCGTTGACTCCGGCGTTGACCGTTGACTTCTGGCGTTGACCGTTGACTTCCGGCGAAAATCGTTGACTTCCGGCGTTGACCGTTGACTTCCGGCGTTGACTTTCAACATTGACCTTTGACCCTTAGCATGCATTGTGTATGAAGTAAATATGCATCAGTATTATGCACTTTGTATGAACTAAATATGCATCATAAATGAATTATATATGTTATCCTTATGAACTAAATATGCACCAGTAATATCAACTATGTATGCACTGTTTATGTACTAAATATGCACATTTTACTAATTAAATATGCATCAGGAATGAACTAAATATGCAACGAAAATATGCAATAAAATATACATTTTATGCAATTAAATTAAATATAATAATTAATGATTTTTATTATATAATGAACTTTAATTTTAAATTGATTAATAACACAAATAAATTGTTATGATTGGATCTCAAATAAAATAGGTATGCATTGTTCATGAACTAAATATGCATTTCGTAAGAACTAAATATATATCATGAATTAAGTAAATATAAATAATCAATTAATTATATAAATATTATTATATATTTAATTTAAATGTAACAAGTATGCATTTTGTATTAACTAAATATGCATCATAAATTATCTAAATATTCATAATAAATTAACTAATATGCATCATAAATCACCTATATAAAATGTACATTTTATACAATTAAATTAAATATAATAATTAATGATTTTTATTATATAACGAATTTTAATTTTAAATTGATTAATA